CAAAAAGGGCACGAGACGATAATCCAAAAATTTAGATTTTTTAAAAATTAATGCAGGGAAAAGAATCATTAGAAGACTAAAGTTTTTTGTATCAATATTTTTTAATTTATACGTGAAGAAAAATTAAAAATTTATAGAAGATTGTGCTTCTATGGTTTATCTTGGGTGCATATCATTTTTATGAATATTTTCTCATAATTTTTTTTTTTTAAAAAAATAGATGCTTATTCAAATAAAAAAAGCTTATCTTGTTCATTTGTACGTCCATGATGGAACTTAAGTCCACCATAGAATTTGCCTTTATTAGAAATTCAGTAAATTTAGATCATTTATATTTGATGTTTAGATGATATGCCCCATAAAGAAAATCAAGTTATTTTAATAATTTACATTATAGAGTCACAAACAGTTTTGTTTTACCCGTACATGGCACGGGTTGAAATAGTAATGTTCTCTGATCTTTAACTTAAAAGACGCTTTTGATGGCAATCGAATTACTGTAACACTTTGTTTGGTTCAAGCTAAGGAATTTGAAAGGAAAAAAAAAGAAATTAAGATAGAAAATAATTTTTCTTGTTTGATTAAAGAGGAAAAGAAAAGTGGATGTAAAACAAAATGAATCGCATTTTGTTTTACACTTTTACTATTTGAGTCTCTCGATGTTTTTTGTGTACACATGTGTTTTTATTGATTATTTAATAAATAAAATATTCTTATCGCATGTTGTTTTTTTGATCTATTAATGTCATTTTTTAAATATGTAATTTATACTTTTAATTTTTATACTAATTTATGAATAAAAGTAAAGAAATATTGTACCTTGGTAAAAGAGTATAAATCATTTTGGGAGAGATAGAGTATATTAAGATACATTAAATATATATAATTTTGTATCTTAAGTTTTACTTTTAAGGAGGGTTTGGGAAGTGAAACATTTCCAACACCGGAGAATCACAAATTATGTAACCCTAACAAAAGTATGGACTTCCCCTCGATCATCGCCAACTCATGTTGGTTAATACTCATCAAGTTCACTGAGAAGTTGAGTGCTAAAAATGCAATATAATATATTAATAGAATATATATTCTAATAACATATTTGCGCTCAACTTCTCAGTGACCTTATGAGCTATTTTACTCAAATTCATTTTGAATAAATTCTTTTTATAATAAACTACGAAAATTCATGTCTATTGTTTAATACACAGCAAAACATCTTCAGCCTGGGATCACGTAGAGGTGGAGACCAATAATGAAAGAGGATGAATAAGGGGGGGTCTCTGCCTTCCACCAGATGAAGAAGAAGAAATCATCCAAGTGAAATATAGCACTTATTTAGAAAATTTATCTTAAATAATCTTACGGAGTATATTTTTACGTTTTTTAAAATTGAAATTTGCACTGAATAGGATTAAAATATTCATTTCTTAATGTAGGACTTAAACTTTTTTATTCTCTAAATAGGACTTAATAATGACTAGCAAGAAGAATAATGTCCAAGTGATGTTGGACATTTAGTTGAATAATGACTAATAGATAATGACCAATAATGGTCTTATATTGGGAAATAAAAACATAAGGTCATATATTGAGAAAGCCATTATATTTTAGTCTTATTTAGGTAAATTACCCGTCGCTAAAAAACTATATTGGCGTAAGCAATGTGTCCCCTCTCCATGTTGGGGTATGGTTCTCCACTCCACTTGACTATGTAATCCCCTATATTTTTTAATGTTATCTATGTTGTTTTCCTAAAAAAAATACAACAACAACAACAAAGCCTTGTTCTATTAGATAGGGTCCGTTGGATAATGCAGCTTGGATAGTTCAACAAAAAAAAGAAAAAAATTAATATAGGAATAAAACATTAAGGTTATGAAATAAAACATACTCCCTTCGTTACAAAACACATGGAATGTTTTGATTTTGAAGAGATTTAAGGGGAGTGTACATATTTTGGTATTAAATTTCAAAAAAATGTGCTTTGATGTGATAGATAAAAGTAGATTTGATTGATAGATTATTAGTAAAAAGGTATGATGTGATAAATAAATATGAAAAAGTATGGGATAAAAGTGACTTTTTAATACAAATAAGAAGTGTTTTTTGGGACGGATGAAAAAAGAAACATCCCTTATTTTTAGGACGGGAGGGACTATGATATATTATATTTTAGTACATTTTTAGCTATGAACTTGTTTGTCAACCTAATAAGTCTTAACCAATATAAATTGACAATTATCCAGCCGATGTGCACAAGTGCACAACTTACTTAGGGTTACATAATTTGTGATTCTCCGGTCTTCCAAACCAAGCAAAACTCCCTATTTAATTAGACTAGTTAAAATTGCAAATGGGAATGAAGCTATATACAGAATTCACATGATTTATTTACCCAAAATGCCCCCATATCAGCATCAATCTTCTGATCTCCCATTAGACTAAACACTAAACATTGCAATCTCCAACTTAATTATTAGATTGTCTAGAGTTTTTTTGTTTGACTACTTAGTAGTAAAGTAGGCTCTCTCCATTCCAATTCAATGAGAAATTCCAGTTGCCGGAGGTATGTTACTCATCACAGAGTTACACAGTTTGTACAAGTTCTTCCTTCATCCTCCTCCTCCATAGGCCATACCCTCTTTACATGGATTTCCAGCACTCGATGGAAATGGTTTTGTTTTATACTCCGTAGAAAATAATCCCACACCGGAGAGATGAGGCAATGTTTACAATTTGAATTTATTAATAGATTTTATCTTCGTTGGTTTCCCAGTCCAATTTTAATAATCTAACACACACAATGTACTTTATATTAAATTCAAACTAAAGTCATGCATTAACGAATTTGTAGGTTTGAATTTTGACTATACCTCACTTGTGTTCCCCATCGGGATGATTTCTTTTCGCTTCTTTATCTCGATGCCTTTTTTGAACCGACAGGATAGACAACTAGTTCTAGAAAGATTGGGGACCTCAACATTATTTAAGGAGGAGGTTTACTTCCCTTAAACAATCATAATACAACTAAATTTTCCCTCTCTTAAAAAAAAAAAAACCCTCGAAGGGACTTATAATTCGTCCACCTAAAGAAAATATAAGTACATAACAAATATTAAAATGAATTAAACATAATCTTGATATTTGCTCGGCGGTCTTGCGTGCCTCTTTGAACGCCGCGTTGCAATTGTTCCGTCGTCGTGCTTTCCCGGGTTCTGTCCGTATCACACGTCGGCCATGCCGACTCCACACCCCGCGGCCTTAGTGTGAGATAGAGTGATATAGAATAGCCTATATTAAATTAGATTCTCCCTATGACTTTTTGTAATCTATTTACAAAAATAATTATTCATAATAATTCTATTTAGAGCAAATATTTAATACGGAGTAGAACATATGATGTAATAATTTATTTTAACACATTTTTGGCTCTAAACTTCTCTGTCAAGCTAATCAGTACCAATCAATGTTAATTGACGATTATGGAGCACATTCCACAACCTAATAAGTACCAATCAACCTGGAAATTTTGAAGCAGAATTTTCATAAAATGTCCGATTTGACAAAGATTCCAAGGAATCATAACATAACACACCAAAAACTGCAAACAATTAAGAACACGAAAAAACCAAACATATAAAACGTATTGCAATTTGCAAATAAATGCACGAGGAACTGGAGATGTAATGGCTTTATTTCAAAAATCATTCCCACAGCGGGGAATCACCCGTAAGGAAACCTCAACAAAATCACTAGAGATTGAAGTAATGGTCACTATGATATTTGATTTAATTAATAATTTGAACCTTCACTTTCTCATCTCCCATTTTAATAATCTAACATAAGTACATTGTTACGAATGGTAGATGAGAAAGTGAGGGTTCAAATTTTCAAATCGTTTTGATATTTTCTTATTTTTGCATACTCCGTATTTTATATGAATAATCTACAACCCAATATACTGCCCCGTCCAAAAAATTTCTTTCCCGGTTTGACTTGGTACAGAGATTAAGAAAATTAAGTTAAAAAATTATAAAGATTTTCCACGTGATGTAATAAAGTAAATAGCGTAGAGAAAAAAGTAGGGGTACAATGACACATTCATTAAAAGTTTTTTGCCAAAATAGGAAACGGGAAAGAATTTTTTTGATAACCCAAAAAAGAAAGTGAGAAAAACTTAATGGGCGGAGGGAGTATTTGACAATAACCTATAATAATATGTAATTTTTATTTTTTTATCGATATATCAATTTGTAAATAAAATGATTTCAAAAGATGAAAATTTTGCTTCGTAAATCCCAATTGTAATGAAATTTGGGACGGATTGAATATATAAATACCTTTTTAAATCATTATTGGAAAAAACTGAAAAAAGTTAAAAGGAATCCAAAGAAATTGGAAGAATTTGGGAGTTAATTTCTCCAATTCAAAAAAACAAAGTCTTAGTGAATTGAGTGATATGGATGCCCTCTCAATTCCAACCATCAAAAAAGAAATAAAATTGTCAAATGTGGAGCTACTCATAAGTTGACTGAGAAGTTCAAAGCTCAAAATGTATAAAAACATAAATATAAATCGTATTTTTTATTACATGCATATATCAATTTGTGTGCCGATGTGCACAACTTTATTAGGGTTACATAATTTGTGATTTTCCGGTGTGGGAATTTTAATTTCCAAACGAAGCAAAACTCTCTGTTTAGACTAATTAAAATTACAAATGGGAATGAAGCTATACAGAATTCACATGATTTACCCAAAATGCCCCCATATCAGCATCTCTCTTCTCCGATTAGGCTAAACACTAAACATTGCAATCTCCAACTATTGAGAGAAATAAATATGCTTTTATTCTAATTGCTGCACTGTCCTCTTTTATCTTCTATTAGCTGTATTATTTTTGTCCTTTTCTATTAGCTTTTTTACTTGCTGCTGCGCCAGCCCTTTTGCTAGGAAGTTTCCTATTATTGTCGTGCTCCTAGCATATAATTAATAGGTGAGAAACAGGTGGCAACTATTGAGTGGTAGGCTGCCATCTGATGCACCCATATATGTAGGAGTCTTGCTCCATTATTCGGGATGAAGAAAACAGAATAAGAAAAAGAAGAAATTCATCTTCCTTCAGCTCTCTCTTTCACCTTTTATCTCATTCTATTTCACTCATCATGGTATCAGAGCCCTGAAAGAGAGAGCTGCATTAAAATCTTCCGAAAACTAGGGTTTCTCCTATCCTGTATCTTCAATGGAAAGGATGAACCCTCAAAACCCCTTGTACCTTCATGGCTCAGATGGGCCTAACACAGTAAGTATTGGAAAACTCACTGGTGTGAGTATGGAGATAGCACTTTCCTCAAAAAGAAAACTTGGCTTTGTGAAGGGAAGTGTTGTGAAGGAACAAGCTGACACAGCGAAGCCTGAACTCTGGGATACATGCAACGACACTGTGATAGGATGGATTATGGGGTCTGTTTCAGACTCTATCAAACAGACCATCATGTATATGCTCACAGCTAGGGAGATCTGGATGTATCTGGAGAGCAGATACTCTGTCTCAAATGGCTCCCTTAAATATAAACTCAACAGAGAACTTTATAGCTTCAAGCAAGGAGGTGCAATCATCAATGATTATTATACTGCCATGACTGCATGTGGGAGGAACTGGAGTCTTTAGACCAGTTGCCCACCATTACTACTGTTGGAGAGGATGTGACAAGATTCTTAGAAGCTTTGGAAAAACAGAAGGAAGAGAAAAGATTGTTTCAATTTCTCAATGGAGTGGATGAAGTTTATGGACCTCAAAGGAGTCAACTGCTCATGATGACAGCTCTTCCTTCAGTAGAGTTTGCTTGTAGTTCACTTCAACAAGAAGAGTCACAAAGATGTGTGCTCAATCCTATGAAGGCTCCCTTGGAGTCCTCTGCCATGTATAGCAAGGGAGCAACTGACCCAGAGACATGCTCAGCTTGTGGGGTTAAAGGACATCCAAGGGAGAGATGTTGGACAGTTATAGGCTATCCTAAATGGCATCTAAAACACAAAGCTCTTTATAAAAGCAGGGAAGGAGGCACAGGTTCTAGTGTTGTCACTAGTGTTGGGTCTGGAAAAAACACTAACTCCAATACTGGATGGTTCAAAAATAAAAAGTATGGTTCTCAGAAGGTTGCTGCCAATGCACAAGGAGGAAGCAGCCTAGGGGACAATGGAGAAATCACAGTCCAACAATTGGAGCATCTGCTGAGGAACCTGCATAACAAACCTAGATCAACCATGGTAGGTTCAGACACTGAAGATGAACTCGATTCTAGCTTTGCTGGCTTCGCAAGTATGGTCTCATGCTTGTGTGTAAATGCTGAAAATGTTGATTGGATAATTGACTCTGGAGCTTCTGACCATATGACTGGAGACATAAGTCATATTGAGAATGTTGTAGCTGTTGGGAATAGATTGAAAATAAATCTACCTAACGGTAATACCTCTGATATCACTCACTGTGGTGGTGTAAAGCTAAAAAATGGACTAAACCTTAAGAAGGTTTTAGTAGTTCCTGAGTTTAAACATAATCTTCTGTCACTTAATAAACTTTTGAGCTCTGAAGATTGCAAGGTAGACTTCTATGCAGGACATTGTGTCATAGTTGACAATGTCACTCAAAAAGTAAAGGGAATTGGAGAGTCAAGAAATGGTCTATACTATCTGTTGAATGAAGACATAAAATCAGTTGTGAGAAGTCTAAAACATGCAGAGCGAAACTCAGGCAGAAGTGTAGGGTCAGCAAACACTAGTTCTGCAAAAATCAGGCATGGTTATGTGGAAACAGAAAAGATGAGTGAAACTTTGATTTGGCACTTGAGATTAGGACATGCCCCTATGAGCAAGCTGAATCAAATTGGAGTATGGGATAAAAATGATATCAATGTTGAAAGGATGTGTGTAACTTGTCCAATGGGAAAGCTAACCAAGCAGCCCTTTCCTAATAGCAAGTCACATGCAAAATATCCATTTGAATTGTTGCACATTGATGTTTGGGGACCTTATAGGGTTCCAACAAGAGGAAATCATAGGTTCTTCTTGACTATTGTTGATGATCACACTAGAACCACATGGGTGACACTGCTAAGGTACAAATCAGAATCATTTGAGGCACTAGCTAAGTTTATCAAGGTAGCTAGTACACAATTTGACAAGAAAGTAAGGATTGTGAGGTCTGACAACGCACTAGAATTTGATGATGCTCAGGCAACTGTATGAGAACCATGGGATTGTGCATCAGACAACAACATGTGTTGATAGGGCACAACAAAATGGAAGAGCAGAAAGGAAGCATAGAAATGTGCTAGAAGTGGCTAGATGCTTGAGGTTTCAAGCAGGCCTCCCTAAGCATTTGGATGCTTGGCCCTTGCTTATAACCCTACAGTAAATGCGGATAAATTCAATCCTAGAGGGGTGCCTTGCATATTTCTAGGGTACCCTGCCTACCAGAAAGGATACAGACTTTTAAATCTGCTCACCAACCAGGTTTTTGTGTCCAGAGATGTAGAGTGGTTTGAACAAGTTTATCCTTACACTCTTGACAAAAATCAAATAACTCATTTGATTCCTCCATCAAATGAACATACCATACAGCCAGCCTCTAGCTGGGAAGACTCATCCTCTGAAGATGAAGAAGAGGAGGAAACAAATCTCAATCCAAACCAAACACCTAACCCCCCTACTCCACTTCAAACAGACTCACCCCTACATACTCAAAATAACCCAACCACACCACTACCTCTACGGAGATCAATAAGGCACTCTCATCCCCTTCAATGGATGAGTGATTACATTACTCCTATAACCAATCTCACATCTACATCAATAAACCCTCAGTTCAGTTGCTTCATAACCAGTCTTGTTAACATCAGAGATCCTGTCACCTTTGCAGAAGCTAGTAGACAACCTCACTGGGTTCAAGCAATGAATGAAGAGCTATCGGCATTGGAAGAAAATCAAACCTGGCTCATAACTGATCTACCACCGGGAAAGAAAGCCATTGGCAGTAAATGGTTGTACAAAACCAAGTACCTCCCTGATGGAAAAATTGAACGATATAAAGCACGATTGGTGATCCTAGGAAATAAGCAGGAATATGGCATTGACTATGAGCAAACGTTTGCACCTGTGGCAAAGCTAACCACTGTGAGATCTCTCTTAGCAGTTGCAGCTCTAGCAGACTGGCAGATCCACCAAATGGATGTGAAAAATGCCTTCTTGCATGGAGATCTAGAAGAAACTGTGTATATGAAACTCCCTAATGGTTATGCTGGCCTTGGGAATCCAATTTCAGCCAATGGAAATGCTTCTTTTAATTACTGCCAGCAGAACCCAACCAAAGTCTATAAACTTCAAAAATCTCTTTATGGCCTTAAGCAAGCACCAAGGCAATGGTTTGCAAAATTATCCTCTGCCCTCAAATCCTTTGGATTTAATCAATCCAAGAGTGATTACTCTCTATTCCTTAGACATGATGGTGATAATCACACGACTATTTTGGTCTATGTTGATGACTTAATAATAGCAGGAAATGACTCCCAAACCATTTCGGAATCCAAATATTTTCTAGCATCTCAGTTCTTAATGAAAGACCTTGGTCACCTGAGATACTTCTTGGGTATAGAAGTGGACAGATCACAGAATGGAATCTTTCTCTCTCAACACAAATATGTGACAGATCTCTTAAAGGAATATGGGATGGGAAGCTCAAAACCTCTAAAGTTACCTATGGACCCTAATGTCAAACTTCATACTGATGTTGGGGAGCCAATATCCAATCCTGGTCCCTACCAACAGCTTGTAGGAAAGCTGATCTACCTTACCATTACTAGACCAGATATATCATATACTGTCCATCTTCTGAGTCAATTTATGCACAAGCCAACATCTGTGCACATGCAGGCAGCAGGGTCCTAAGATACCTTAAGAGTTCACCATCACAGGGCATTCTTCTTGCCTCAAGCTCTGGTGCAACCTTAACGACCTATTGTGACAGTGATTGGGCTGGCTGCCCCTTTACAAGAAAGTCTACAACAGGCTATTGCATTTTGTTGGGTAACTCACCCGTGTCTTGGAAATCAAAGAAGCAATCTGTGGTTGCTAGATCATCTACAGAGGCAGAATATAGATCCATGGCCCTAACCACATGTGAAGTTTTGTGGCTCAATCAACTGCTCAAGGAGCTAGGGATGCAGAATCTTGGTCCAACTATTCTCAAATGTGACAATAAAGCAACTCTATCAATTGCAGCCAATCTAGTCCATCATGAACGCATGAAGCATGTTGAAATTGATTGCCATTTTATCAGAGAGAAACAAGCATCAGGCGCAATCAAAACAGAATACATCTCCACAAAGAACCAACTTGCTGATGTATTCACTAAGCAACTGCACGTCAAACAACACAATGACCTACTCTTCAAGCTAGGAGTTCTTGTTGCACCTCCACTCCCAGTTTGAGGGGGAGTATTGAGAGAAATAAATATGCTTTTATTCTAATTGCTGCACTGTCCTCTTTTATCTTCTATTAGCTGTATTATTTTTGTCCTTCTCTACAAGCTTTTTTACTTGCTGCTGCGCCAGCCCTTTTGCTAGGAAGTTTCCTATTATTGTCGTGTTCCTAGCATATAATTAATAGGTGAGAAACATGTGGCAACTATTGAGTGGTAGGCTACCATCTGGTGCACCCATATATGTAGGAGTCTTGCTCCATTATTCGGGATGAAGAAAACGGAATAAGAAAAAGAAGAAATCCATCTTCCTTCAGCTCTCTCTTTCACCTTTTATCTCATTCTATTTCACTCATCACCAACTCAATTATTAGATTGTCTAGAGTTTTTGTTTGACAGTAAGTAGTAAAGTATAGTAGGCTCTTTCCATTCCAATTCAATGAGAAATTCCATTTGCAATCCATTTCTGCTTCCCCTCTGCCTCTTTAATTTTATTCCCTTCTTTATGCAAAAAAAATGCCATTATTTCTTCTAAATGTTTACACATTGAACTTTAGAAGTGATTACTTTTTATGTAACCCATAGTTGAGTGGAGGCTAATTCAAGAGTGTCAAAATGCAGATAGGCCAAATCATTCTAAAGCATTTGATGTAACCCATAGTTGAGTAGAGGCTCATTAGTCCTACCTTCTTCTTCTTCTTCTTCCTCCTTCTCCATAGTCCATGGCCTTTTCAATTTGGATTTCCAGCAGCCGATGGGAAATGGGAAGTGTCTTGTTTGAAAGCATTCCCACACCGGAGAATCAACCGCGACGAAACCTCAATAAAATGTCTAGAAAGGAGGGCATTGTCACCCTCGGGTTTAACTCTATTAACGGTCTGGATTATCTCTTTCTCATCTGTAATTCTGAAAAATTTAACTAATTAACTAATTAGATTCTTAAGAATAATCGATGAGAAAGAGATCTTCCAAGCAATTAATATATTTTTTTTCATATTTTCTTTGTCACTGTTTTGATTTTTAAAAATCAAACTTGATAGATTATTAAGAACAATCGGTGAGAAAGAAATAGTTAAGATTTTAAATATATTCTAAGATTTGCTCGTACAATTTTTTTGTTATTTTTTGCATTCTATATTTTTACTTAACTCGTGCGATGCACAATTTTTTTATATTAAAATTTGATTTATGAATATCTAAAAAACTGTATTGGAAAGAGTTGAGATATATTTGTGTTTACTACATATTGATAGAATTTGTGTTTGAAAAGAGTTGAAAAGAATTTGTGTTTTTTGAATTGAATTAAAATTGTGTTTTGTAAAGGTCGAAATAAATTTGTGTTTTTTGAATTTTATATTTTTATTAAAATAATATATACTCTATTGGTTTAAATTCTATCTTTTTTATTTACTAGTATTCTAAGTTCTAACCCATGCCACTGCATGCACGGGGTCAAATGAAATTTTTGATAATTCTGTAAATTACCTTTAATGTAATATTTTAAATGAATATATAAAAATATATGTAATGTATTCTTTAACACTATGGAAAAAATAATCATAGTAAAATAAATTATTTAGCATTTAATATCTCGTTATGAAAAATATTATATATAAATTCAAAAGCGAACACCTCAAAGAGTTTTGTAAAATTCATATTCTTTAAAAACAAAATTATGGTATACAATATTTTTGGTTTGGTTGTAAAGATTTTTATTATAATCTAGAACAAATATTTTTAACTCTGTCTTTATTTTCACCCGTGAAAAAGTAGCATAAAGTTGACTATGAGTGAACATGAATTTGGTTAAAAGTAATTTAACAAATGACAATGTTTGATCTTGAAGTTTTTTAAATAGTCGTCGCAAAACATAAAATTATTGAGAATTGTATTCTCTATAACTTCAATGGTAGTCTCGAATCAGGTAGCACCAAAGCTAATTTTAGGTATGTAAACCTTTTCCCAGACTCGATTTCCAAAAACCACAATTGCATCCACAACTTTATATCACAACTTTTCGACGACTAATCTTATCTCATTATACGTACGTTTTAAAGGTTTGGTCAATGGCTCTAAATAACATAGTCGGTGCCCCTTTTTTCAAAACTATTTTTTGGTTTGAGATTTTTGAACATCTGATTTCAATAAAAAATTCAATTGATCGTCATCAACACTTGTATCTGCTTAGTATAAAGAATCGAAACCCAAGTAACTTTTTTTCATCACTGGGAATGAGGGACAGAAAAAATTCATTTATCATTTAAAGTTTAAACTACCTCGAAAATTGGTTCTAAAAGTGTCTTATCCTCAATAAAAAATAATTGTTCATATTTTTTAAATATGTTTGGATAAGTGGAATCCATTGTACTCCCTCCGTTCCACAAAACCCTTCCAGTTTTGATTTTGGGGGAAAATAAGGAAAGTATAATTTTGGTTGACTTTCCAATTTTGCCCTTGATGTGATGGGAAAAAGTAAGATGTGATAGTTTGGTTATTAGTGAAAAAGTATGATGTGATATGTAAGGTATGAAAAAGTAGGGGTAAAAGTGGTTTTTTAATAGAAAGTGAGAGTGTTTTGTGGAAAGCAAAAAAACGAAAGAGGAAGGGTTTTGTGGAACGGTGGGAGTACTAAACATGCCTAGCAATCCATTTCTTCTAAATGTTTACACTTTGAACTTTAGAAGTGATTACTTTTGATATAACCCATAGTTGAGTGGAGGCTCATTCAAAAGTGTCAAAATGCAGATTGGCCAAATCATTCTAAAGCCGTTGTAAATTACCTTCACCATTGTCGTAAGCCCGTCTCCTCCTCCGGACAGTTATGAAAACCACCAAACAGCTAAAAACCTTCGGATTCCAGCACCATCTGCGCGCGATTCCCACAATGGGACCAGTCATGTGCGTCTTCTCAGTGGCCGGAGGTATGTTACTCAGAGGGTTACATTTGGTAAAGTTTTGGGGAGCTAAAATCCACTATTGGTTCTTCAACTTTATGAGTTATGCACGATTCGTTCTTCAAGTTTTCAAAAGTCCATGAATAATAGTCTTTCAACTTTATGAGTTGTGCACGAATGGTCCTTTAAGTTTCAAAAGTCCATGAATAGTCTTTTGAAGGACTGGAGAATCAGCCGTGACAAAACCTCAATAGAAGGACTAGAGGTGAGGGAATTGTCACCCTTGGGTTTAAGTCTATTAACGGTCTGGATAATCCCTTTCCCACCTATAATTCTGAATATTTTAACAAGTTAGATTTTCAAGAATAATGGGTGAGAAAGAGATTATCCAAGCAATTAATATATATTTTTTTCATATTTTCTTTCTCACCATTGATTTTTAAAAATCGAACTTGATAGATTATTAAGAACAATCGGTGAGAAAGAAATGGTTAAGATTTT